GATTTCATTAAATTAACACTCAAAGATACATAGAGAAGTGGGAATAACATCCTCTTTGATTGCTACAATAAAACAAACTACGATAGGAAAAACACATAGATCTTCGTAGAAGATTGACAGCGAATTGGAGACAAATCTCGAATGCGTCAGTAGAGAATTCACGGCATCGCCAGAATGTTGCAATGAAGTCACTTGAAAGTGTGACATTGAATACCAATCCTCATCTCCGGATTGTGTAGAAACAAAAGCGGTTGCTTCTTTTGGCCTCGTGGAGACCGCTACACAAGAAGACAAAACGATGAGTATGTTGGGAAATATCCTCGATATGACAACTGAGTAAAAACCATCTTTCATCGAAAAGGGACGTGATGGCAAAGTTTTCTCCCGATTAAAGGAGGAGGGTGAAAACGATCGCTTCCCAAGAGGGAAGGAGGGTGATAAAGATCTCTCCATCCCCGATATGAATGAAGTTTGAAAAGAGACCATGGGCCTCAACGGCTTGGACACTACAAGGCCCATTAAGGATCCACAAGAGCCCAAACTCATTAACACATTACAATGGGTGGTTGAATGAATATGGTGCAATGACCATCGGTTGTGCTTTACCGACCAGCAAGACGACGAAGAGCAAGGTAACGGTGAGCCGAAGACATCGGCGGCGGTTGTCGGAAAAAATTTCTGGTTAAACGAGAGATATCTTAGCGGCAACAGGGAGAGAGGAGGGACTCCTCTAACATCTCGCTGGAGAAGCTAACAGCGAAGGCAGAAGGCAAGAACAATAAGTCGGGAATGTTGGATTTGACACGGAGTTGAGGACGGACCTTGTGGATCTGGGGGATCCGGTGGTTTGGAATGGTTCGGCTGCACCGAGAGAATCATTACCAAAGATTGAGAGAGAGACAAGCTCGGCGGCATTGAAGTCAGAGATGTCATCGTCGATGAGGCCTCTGCATCCATGGAGAGGGGCTCTAGAATGATTGATAGTATTGAAAGAAACAGATCAAAGACGAGGCGGAGCTAGCTCGTCGGCGAAGGCTATGTAGAGATTTGAAGGAAAAGTTCTTCACAAAAAGGGAGAAAGGTTCTTTGGAAATCACTGTGATAATCCGAGAAAGAGATGCCGGTATTGCTCAGGAGGAGGAGGGCTGACGAACGGTGAAGATTCGGTGACTGAGCTCCATCCTGCTTAAAATCTGAAACACTGTTGCGGCTGCCTCATTTAATGTGTCAGAGAGAAAACCATTATGGTGAACTCGCTATTTTTGTTTATGTTTTAACTTCAATAATTTTGAGTTAACACATGCATTATCTTTCTAGTTAACACAAATATAAATAATATTTTGAGTAAATGATATAATATT